CGAAATGCAAACGAATTTGAAACAACAAGAGTAAATGACTGCATTTTTCAATTTTGGGTGCACTGACACTTTAAGGCAATGTAGTAGATTGATACTGCAGCAAGAAATCTCAGAACTAGATAGTTACTCAAACCCTACTGCTTTGTACGCTTAACAGCACATAAGGACATATCGCTCCTGGTGGACTTCCCCAATAATTAGTGCTGCTTTGGAGAAAAAGCGTACTGTAAAGCTATGAAGATAAAAGTAGTAGAATAAACCATCCGAAAGTTTAAGATTGGGACTCTTATCAAAATATGCCTGCCAGGCATTGCAGAACTATGATAGATCTACATTGAATTGGCTGCATTTTTCTCCCACAAGCCCTACTCTCCCCTGTACGTAGTTTGCACAGCACATGATGCTGTTTAGACGGCTCAATCAAGGGAACAAGTGCGAGACAAGAAAGTGCTTCCTATTCCCGGTACGGCTCCTGCCACTGAGCTACTCTCCCTGGTTTTAAAATGTAAAGGCAGTCTGCGTTCAAGACAGAGAAACACAAGATGGGTTTTCCACATCCAACGACCTGGCATCCAAACACTGTGAATCCTGGCCATTAGTGGTTAAACGGATCGTAGTTGATCCGTGATCCATACGGACCAAGCCCCACGGTTCAGCAACGCATGTGATCCTCAAAATTTAACCATAATAGAGTATAAGTTTATCATTTGTTCGTATTTACAAGCAAGTGAATTTTAAACAATTCCAGAGAGAAAAGGCGAAAGGGAACTCGATTCGTTACTCGCGCGCACAGCCGCGCACACATGAAGCGAGACAGCGAGCGAACACCGAACTGAATCCTCTTCTGAATCCTCTGAACAGACACAGACAAATAAAATTATGACAAAATACCCATCTCGACAATCATTCAGGTAAACGCAGTCAGTTATGTCTCAAGTGAATGAAAACTGCTGAGAAAGAAATCGGATGAGATGTGTATCATTATATCGGGTCCGTGTATCAGGTCTTAAAGGGACAGCGGCCTATAAATACTGCTGCTGTCATTAATGATCATCAAACAACAAAACAGCTGTGATAAAAATCGATATTTAATTTATACAATGAACACTATACAGTGTTATTTTCCCACATTATGACATTTCTGTATTTGAATACTACCAACCTTATTTTATTTGTTACATATTCTGTTGTATTTATCTATGCTTGTAATTTGTGTTTTTGTTCTTATTTTTACTGGCTGTTCTCTTGTCTCTTTAATCATGTTTAAACTTTCTTAGTTAACCTAGTAGTATTTGCTGTGGTGTCAAAGAAGTACTTCGCTTTAAGTAATAAATGGAAAGCAAGTTAAATTTAAATATTTTTCTTTTCTTGCTGATCAGAAAAATTATTCGATCCGTGGGTCAAAAACCGTAATGTGATCCGAACCGTGAGATTTGTGATCCGTTGAACCACTAATGGCCATGTATAAGCAGATCATCAGCTTCATGACGGCTTGTGATCCAGCATCCAATATTGTGACATTAGTATTGCCATAACCTTTACAGATGAATGAGGAAAGCACGAGACCGCATGATCCACCTTGACAGCAGAAGGAAGCATGCCATTCAACAACAACAAAATGCAGGACTACTTTTCATACAAACGCTCTTCCACTTATAGCTCACTGCTTAGAAGACAGAAGAGGTACAACAGAGGGATTAAGGTGACCCTAGGTGGGGTAGCTTTTTACTTAAAGAGAAGGATAGTTTCCCCAAGGTCAGCTTTACGTGACCATACCTCCCATTCCCAGATAATAAGAGCACTGTTGCACTGTGGGTCTCCTGCCAACCGCATATAACAGAAAACATGGGGAGAATCCTTTTTTCAAGAGTTTGCTGATACAAACTAGCTCTACAAATAAATCTATTTAGTAAAATGACAACAGACTAAAACCACAAAAGTGGCTGTAGTACAATAATATTTTACCAGATGTCATAATCTACGACATTAACATGATAATCCAATCGCTAAAGGTGTATTTAAATATACACTAATATTGTGCCAGGTTATGATAACGGAAACAAACAGTTTTTGTTACATTTAAACTGTGAGCCCGAGAGAGCTGCATTCAGGTAACAAGAGAAAACACCATGATCTTGATGGTGTCGAGGATTTCACACAGCGAGGATTTCTCTCACGCCTGCCTCTAGAGGTGTGATTGAACTAGAGTAGACTAGACTAGACTAGAGTGTCATGTCTGATCACATGAGAAATGTGCAGCATTTTGTCCAAGCAATAATAAAAGGACACATATAATTTGTCTTAAATCTAATTTTGTTAAAAAAATTATAATAATCGTGAATCGAATCGTGAAATCAAACTCGTGAATCGAATCGTGAGTTGAGTGAATCGTTACATCCCTACTTACTAGTAATTAAGAAATAAACCACAACCAGAAAGCAAAATACACTAGTCACTATTGGATTTTGTAGTAATAAAAACAACAACTTTGTAGTAACTAGTAGCATCAATACTGGTAATATATCGATCTTGGTGGACTGCCCCAGTGAGTAGTGGTGCTCTGCATAAAGCAGAAATAAATAAAAAAATTAAGAGTGGGACTACATTTGAAAAAGATACTATTTAGGTGTAAAGAACTGTTAAAACGGCTTGCATCACACTGCCCATTATTCACAGTAAAAAAAAAAAAAAAAGACCTGTCAACTTTATAACTGAGAATCTCATCATATAGTGGAAAGTTTAAGAGCATCAGTTCATGGACAAGACACTAAGGAAGTCTAGCTATAAAGAAATAATTTAGGGCTGATGTATGATAGAGAAATGAGCTCATCGGTTCATCTGAAGATCTACTGGAGCTGCCATGGCTACTCTCTGCACTAAAATAACATAGCATTGAAAGACGTTATTTAAAATATCTGACTGATAAACCTATGCCTCGATTGGCCTCATTTATTTAATAACATGCTTGCTGTCAATAATAGTGACAAAACTTCCTGGTGTTATGGACATCGCCATCTTTGATCCCATCATTAGTTATACGGCTGTTCATTGAGATACAGATATTCAAGCAGCTACTTTAATGTGCTGAATGAACAAAGCATATCAAGACTCACACCTGTAGGCAAATACTGCGGTCAGTCCCAAATAGTGACTGTGAAGTCATTGTGGACATTTGTATTGCTGATAGATGCGTTTTAATTCTTGACACGTCGGTAATTTTCTATAACAGGTATTTTTACTAGAAAATGTTTGAATAAAGCATTGAAAATTCTTGGCAGAAGTTAGTTATTTATTGATGAATTAACTCAAGGATTAATCGACTACTCATAAAATAATCGACATTTTAAATGCAAAAACGCTAATTGAAAACATAATTGAAAAATTGCAGCTCTAAAATAATAACTGACAGAAGAAATGGAAAAAAAAACAACTGATAGAGTGGACAGAGAATGCAAATCTAAGCCAGGAATCATGCAAACTGCAGCAGGGACTGGGAGGACACGTTTACAGACGCTCACTTCCTTTATTTCTGTAACCTTACTCCACAATCACAAGGAAGAGATGCAAACTCGCCATTCATGTGTCCACCACAACCCACCGGGTGTAAAGGCATGACAAACAGACACCATTTTAGCCAGCATTCATATAGATCAGTGGTTCCCAACCCTGGTCCTGGAGGCACCCCAACACTGCACATTTTGTATGTCTCCTTTCTCTGACACACCAGTTTCAGGTCTTGGAGTCTCTACTAATGAGCTGATTACCTGAATCAGGTGTGTTTGATTAAGGAGACATGCAAAACGTGCGGTGTTGGGGTGCCTCGAGGACCAGGGTTGGGAACCACTGATATAGAGTACTATGAAGCACAACAACAAGAAGGATTGAACATCTCCCTCGAAACCTCCTGGTGACTAAACAAGCCTAAAACACACACCAAGTGACATCACACACCTCGCATTCTTCACCTTTCTCACTACATTAACCTAACAAAAAAAACACCCTGACGGCTTCTGTACAATTAAGAGACTGTTGAAGGTTTTTATGTTTCTGGATCCGCTTGCGCTACACATTTTAGCCAGCATTCATATAGATCAGTGGTTCCCAACCCTGGTCCTGGAGGCACCCCAACACTGCACATTTTGTATGTCTCCTTTCTCTGACACACCAGTTTCAGGTCTTGGAGTCTCTACTAATGAGCTGATTACCTGAATCAGGTGTGTTTGATTAAGGAGACATGCAAAACGTGCGGTGTTGGGGTGCCTCGAGGACCAGGGTTGGGAACCACTGATATAGAGTACTATGAAGCACAACAACAAGAAGGATTGAACATCTCCCTCGAAACCTCCTGGTGACTAAACAAGCCTAAAACACACACCAAGTGACATCACACACCTCGCATTCTTCACCTTTCTCACTACATTAACCTAACAAAAAAAAACACCCTGACGGCTTCTGTACAATTAAGAGACTGTTGAAGGTTTTCATGTTTCTGGATCCGCTTGCGCTACAACGTCAAGCGCTTCGTGCTAAGCTAAATGATAAACAGTGAGATGACGGAACATCACGCTCTGGTAAAAGGTCTTTCTAAGCCCTTTAAACAGCAGTAAATACCTCTGTTTTTGCTCGGTAGTGTCGGTGGATGAAGCGCTGAGTGTGTCCGTTGCTAACAGACTGGAATCTAACGTGAGTCAGGCCTCAAATCGAGCGTCGATCTGGCGGAGGATTAAACACACACCTCTGCTTTAAACCCACCGAATCGTTCACAAACTACAGTCTAACTGCAATTTCACGCCCGGTAGCGTCACGCCGCCCGTGGACGTGCAGCCCGAGCGATAGTTTAGCGAGCGGCGACCGTTAGCGCCCCGGTGTGAGCTGCCGCTAGCATTAGCCTGCGCGCTGCACTTCCAATACAGCCCAAGAGTCGGCGAAAATACAACCGAGCGGTTCGACAGCTCCGAGCTCGACAGTCGTTCAGTCGGTTAAAATAAGCTCCCACTCACCAACCGTTACGATACCAGAAAACAGGTGCAATCTTCTCAACCGACGGAAGGAGGAACGGACCAGACATTCAAAATGGCGGCGGTCCCAGCCTCAGCACTTCTACCGCAGGCGGAAGGTTACACTGACTGATGTTCAGAACTTCAAATGCGGATGTGAGGAGGCGGCACCTTATGCTGTGAGCTTGCGTTCATGCGTTAAAAAACATTGTGAATTTAAAAATGCGGTCAAATGGCTTGCATTGACGTGGTTTATTTTAAAGTCATATAGCAAGAGGCTCTATCCGCCTCGCTAAATAAATCCCAAGCTGTGTTCGCTGGGAAACGCGTGATACTGTGCCTCGTTTTATGTCAGTGGAGTGTAGTTGTGTTGTAAAGCTAGGCTACGTGTCACTCCGGCGGATGACTTGCCCAAAGAGCCGTGCTGCGGTCCGCGCCTCTCTCACCTCGTGGCAGTCAGTGATGACGTCTCCGCGCAGGGTTGCCAGGTCTTCACAGCAAAACCCGCCCAATTGCTGCTCAAAACTAGCCCAATCGCTTTTCAAGGGCGATCCCCGGTAAAAACCGCGTTCCGGGGGGTAACATGCACATTTTTTGGTGGGGTTTCCCAGGTAAAAGTCGCATTCCAGCCTCACAGGTGGGGTAAAATGCCCCCAGTCTGACAAAGCAATTTGCTTTATACATTTATAGCAAAATTAGAGTACAGGCAGTTTTAACTTAAAATTAAACATATAATCTATATGAATTACAAAATTATTATAGCCTATTTGAAAAATATTGCTAGCTAACTAGCTACCTGATGCTAACCTGAGGCAATTTTTAAATATAAAGTTCAAATGTTTTTATTCAACCAACTAGTTAAAATACAGTACATTTGATGGAAAAACAAAGGATTTGGTGTTCAGGACAGAGTAACTACCGTAATGAAGCCAAGGTTTTACCCCACAGACTAGGTTTGGAAAAAAAAAAAAGATGTCATTCTAAAAATATAATTATATTTTTCTTAAATAACACATACCCCCTATCTACAGGCCTTACTGTTCTCATGTCATGGGCTACATAACTGTGATGTTCTACAAAAAAAAGCTTTACAAAACTTCCTTTCCAGGGTTAAATATCACGTTATTGGGGTCGCTTCAACCCGCGGACATGAAAAACATCCCGCGGCAACAGTGTTAAAGTAACCCAATTCCGCGGGAAAACCGTGGACCTGGCAACACGGGTGTTGTGGCACTTCCTGTGGAGTCACTGAACTGGTTCTCCTCAGTAAGCCAGGGGTCGTTCGGTCGACCTGAGGGGTGATTTTGCGCTGAAGTTTGGCACTACAGAGGTTTCTAACAAGTGTAATGATCAGTACCTCTAGAACAGGAACTGATGCCAAGGACACCCAAATATGATGACCTAGCTGCTCTGCATTTAACCCATCCTAAGTGCACACACACAGCAGTGAACTATCTTATCTTATACACACCGTGAACACACACCCGGAGCAGTGGGCAGCCATTTATGCTGCGGCGCCGGGGAGCAGTTGGGGGTTCGGTGCCTTGCTCAAGGGCACCTCAGTCGTGGTATTGAAGGTGGAAGAGAGCGCTGTACCCACACCCACAATCCCTGCCGGTACGAGACTCGAACCCGCAACCTTTGGGTTACGAGTCCGACTCTCTAACCATTAGAGAGTCTTTTTGTCTCTGGTACATCACCAGTGTAAGCATCATGGTCAATACTTCTCCATCACTCTTGTCAACGCAGGCCACAGTAACAACACAAATGTATCTTGACTTTATCTAGTGGATATTTTGGGAAAAACAGTAGTGCTGCATTTCACCCCAAGGGGGCGTTTAACCCCACTCTACTCTATATTTAATGTAGTGTGTTGTTTCCAGAGTCAAATAATTGCTTTCATATTGTAAAATATATTACATACATAATCTTGTAATAATATTATGTTGTATAATGTATTGTAATAGGCTTTTATTACTACTAACGCCAAAGAAAAGTATTCAAAGATCAGCTAATGATCTAAGACTGATGCCAAGGACCCCAAATATCTTCCTAAAATATAAAGACAGCTATAGATAGACAGATATACGATAGATAGATAGATAGATAGATAGATAGATAGATAGATAGATAGATAATGATAAACAGATGATAGATAGATAGATAGATAGATAGATAGATAGATAGATAGATAGATAGATAGATAGATAGATAGATAGATAGATAGATAGATAGATAGATCTGATATACGATAGATAGATAGATAGATAGATAGATAGATAGATAGATAGATAATGATAAACAGATGATAGATAGATGATAGATAGATAGATGATAGATAATGATAGATAGATAGATAGATAATGATAAACAGATGATAGATGATAGATAGATAGATGATAGATAATGATAGATAGATAGATAGATGATAGATAGATAGATGATAGATAATGATAAACAGATGATAGATAGATAGATGATGATAAACAGATGATAGATAGATAGATGGATGGATGGATAGATAGATAACGATAAACAGATGATAGATAGATAGATAGATAGATAGATAATGATAAACAGATGATAGATAGATAGATAGATAGATAGATAGATAGATAGATAGATAGATAGATGGATGGATGGATGGATGGATGGATGGATGGATGGATGGATGGATAGATAGATAGATAGATGATAGGAAAAACGGCTTTGTACTCCACATCCACGTACGTGTATCCCACAATGCGTCTCGTTGTTTTCTACAAACCAAACAGGCTTACAATCATAGAAATGGAAAAACTGCTAGAAAGGTCATTTGCAAAAATTTGTGGTTAAAAGGGGTGGGGAAGAAAAACGGCTATGAAGTAATCCCCAAGTGGTCAAATACGCGAAGTTCCTCAGGCAGGTACAACTTTATTTGCTCCTTAAAACCCATTTAACTTGCAACAGCTATTCACCACATGTGCAACAATCAGATTATCTATCAGCGCCTTAAATTTTTATATTTTTAAATACTTAAAAATAGAAGTATTTTTGTGTCTATAAAATAACTTTTGAGTACAGCACAAGGGGTTTTTATAATGGCTTCAATATTGTACCCACTGAATTGAAATATGTAACCTTTTCTCGGTGTTATAGTTTTGTTTAAACGCGAAGACTAACACGTGCCGCTTGTTACTTTTCTCAGCGCTGTTGAGGATGAACCAATCACCGCTGATTTGGAAAATACGATTCCGCTAAACATGCTGCGACCTTCTTTCCTTTGCATATGAAGTGCAAACCATTCAAAGTTAGAGTATATCAATGATCACGTTTACACTTTGACAAATGTTTCTAAATAGACAAAACACGTCAATGCATTTTAATTGGCAAGTGGGTTTAGTGAGCCGCAGTGCGCCCCCTATAGGAGCTTTCGCGTTTCGTTCACGGACAGCGGGAGGTGGATGATTACATTAGTTATTCTTCTCACTTCAGCTCATCGCTTGAAATGCATGTAGCTGAAGAGTCTCTGCAGTGCATTTGCCCGGCTGCAGTGGCGCAGGCTTTCACATCATCTCCCCCCGGTCTCTTATGTTTGGAAACCGAGCTCTATCGACATGAACTCGCTCTCATCGCCGACCAAGACGCCTGTTTGCGCAAAAGTGATCTTTAATTCTCTTTTAGTTAAATGAACCTAACCGCGCCGGCCAATGTAGCCGTCTAGTGCTCAGTTCTGCCCGTTCGGAGCGTTTTGTTTGCTGGATTGTTTTCTGCTTTAATACATTCACCTTCGGATTGGCCAAAAGCATCTCCACATCAGTCGGATCAAAGAAGAGATTCGACTTTTTTTCATCCGGGAGCGGGGGATAATATGTCAAGACGCAAACAGACCAACCCTTTCAAAGTGAATTGTAGGTATCCCAGGTATCGTAAACACTTTTCATTTCCTCGTGCGTGTAAAACGGGCTTCGGGTGTCCTGTAGCTGATCGAGATCATCATGATACAGTGTGGCATTGAGTTGTTTGCTTTCGTCAAGTCTTACATCCGCATTTTACTGTACGAGGACAACAGCCAGAGGCCAGGGGTTCACAAACTCTCATCACAATATGTTCACAGTGCCAGCTTGCTTGAAACCTGATATAGAGGATATACACGCGATTATACACCTTAGTGTTTGTTGTTTGTCTCCATGAACCGAAAATATCCTCACATTCATTTACTTCTGATCATTTGCAAAGAGACTGAAGCCCTACATAACCTTAAATAATGGTCTTTATACATATATATTAGTGCTGTAAAACGATTAATCGCGATTAATCGCATCCAAAATAAACGTTTTTGTTTACTTAATATATGTATGTGTGCTGTGTCTATTTATTATGTAAATACACACACACATGCATGTATATATTTCAAACAAATATGTTGTTTATATATTAAATATATTTATTTATAATATAAATGATATGAATATAAATACAGACATGTAAATATTTAAAAAATATATACTGTATGTGTGTGCATTTATATATACATAATAAATATACACAGAACACACACATATATTATGCAAAAAAAAGTATATTTTGTATGCGATTAATCGTTTGACAGCACTAATATATATATATATAAATTTACTACACAAGTTACTTTAGGCCTATATATATATATGTGTGTGTGTGTGTGGCAGACAGTACTTACCTTTTTCTGAAATATATACATGCATGTGTGTGTATTTATATATACATAATAAATATACACAGAACACACACATACATTATGCAAACAAAAACTTTTATTTGGATGCGATTGTATGCGATTAATCGTTTGACAGCACTAATATATATATATATAAATTTACTACACAAGTTACTTTAGGCCTATATATATATATGTGTGTGTGTGTGTGGCAGACAGTACTTACCAATAAATGAATACTACATGGACATGACGATTTTATTACTTGTAGAGACAGTGTAGTTACAGAACACTATCACATCTATGTAAGAAACCGGTTTCCTCAATGAGTAGCGTTACCCTTGACACATGCAATTATTATTCGTTTTTATTTAGAAATGTTACTGAAATCCAATTTTGATAAATCAGCATCAAATTAACATATGTTCACTCATAGCACGTGTTTTTGGTTTAAGGTCATGATCACCAAAACCTCATGATCCAGTTCACCTTCTGAATATGTTGAAGCTCTCATCCAACCCCAGTAACTGCATAATTATACGTTATTAGCATATCATTGTTTGCGATTCTCTTTATTGAGGGACACACAATCCACAATGTAAATGTGATGCGACTGTCATAAATAATCGTTGATGTATGGTGATTTATAATTTCAGATGGTTTTGAAAAGTTGTGAGTTGGCTACATTGCAGGCAGTGTTAGTGAAATGTTATGATTGTCTTATAGTAATTTGTGCTGTATAGAATTAATATTTTATTGTATAAAGGTGTTACCTGACTGAAGACCAAAAAAGTAACTTGCTACCACTGCTATATATATATATATATATATATATATTTACACACACTACACTGTAAAAAATATTTTACATTTACAGTTACATTTTATAGTTTTACTTTATTTTTTATTGTTTTTTTTTTTTAGTTAAAAGTTTATTGGATTACGTTTTACAAGAAAATACCATTTCGGTCTTTCTACTTCTAAAAGTTTAATTCACTGTATTGCGGTTTCTTTGTAATTATTTGTGAAATTTACTTGCAATTTCTGAGTGAAAATAGTTGAAATTAAATCCTACACCATTTTTTTCAGTATAGTTTCCAGCAACTACTTTGTGCATTTATGATTTAAATATTTTCAGAGCTGATGAAAGTGAAAGGCTGAGACTTTTCTGTAAATGTTAGTCCGTCTTTTCCATTTTATAGTATTTCTTAGTAAAAATAGGGGCTCTTGCAGACACACTGGGGCGCACTATGGGAAACGTTACTCCATGGGAACCTGTATGACTGATCTTGTTCTTCCATCATGCCTGGCTTTGTCAATTAGGCAAAGTGAGGCCTGAATTGCTTGTCTGGGTTTATCTGATGTCTGTCTATGACTATTCTTCCAGCCCACCAAACTAGACTGCGTGCGAGGGCCCCGTCCCCTGCCCGTTCTCAGGATTTGTACTGCTTTCTGTTGGGTTTGTAAAGGCTGTGGGATGGTTTGAATTCAGGAGTGCTCTCATTGTTTGGCATCCGAGTTAAGTTTTGTCTCTTTTTGTCTGTTTTGTTGCCACCCACCCTTCAATGACTTCAGCCTTTTCTCTCGTGTCTGTTGGCTGATGAGTTTGTCTCTTTGTCTGGATTCAGACAGACACTGCGTCACCTCCTGCCTACAGACACACAGACTCTGAGATAACATCACAGTGGCACACAGAGGGGGGAGCGAGGAGAAGACGGAGGGAGGGTCCTGGCTTTGTCAATTAGGCAAAGTGAGGCCTGAATTGCTTGTCTGGGTTTATCTGATGTCTGTCTATGACTATTCTTCCAGCCCACCAAACTAGACTGCGTGCGAGGGCCCCGTCCCCTGCCCGTTCTCAGGATTTGTACTGCTTTCTGTTGGGTTTGTAAAGGCTGTGGGATGGTTTGAATTCAGGAGTGCTCTCATTGTTTGGCATCCGAGTTAAGTTTTGTCTCTTTTTGTCTGTTTTGTTGCCACCCACCCTTCAATGACTTCAGCCTTTTCTCTCGTGTCTGTTGGCTGATGAGTTTGTCTCTTTGTCTGGATTCAGACAGACACTGCGTCACCTCCTGCCTACAGACACACAGACTCTGAGATAACATCACAGTGGCACACAGAGGGGGGAGCGAGGAGAAGACGGAGGGAGGGTGGAGAGACAGATGTACAGACAGAACTGGCAGAGGGGGATGGGAAATGCGCTTGCATCAATCACGGGCTGACTGCCGCGGAGCCGCACTGTTGTATCCATTCGTATTTTAACGCTGATATCCCTCATGCAAATCTTCTGTACTTGTAGATGCTCCCAAACACCCTTAGAAACCGTCCCGAGTACGCTGGGAAAGTAGGGTGGAAACTCTTGACAATCTTTGGTGATTAGTAGTGGATGTAAAGTATTACATCCGTCGGCTGTTGTTTTTCAGATGGGAAGACAACATGTGGTGGAGGCAGTCCTGAAATGGTCTGAGCTCAAATGCAGTCTAAAGCTTGCTGAAGTTCAACACGATGACTTCATAAAATCAGATTGTGGTCCACTTTGAACTTGGTCTAACAATATATCAGTAGCTTTGAGCTGAGGCAAACATCACCATTACTGTTGCTCATACATAGAGTTATGGGATAGTTCAGCCAAAAATGAAAATTCGGTCATTATTTACTCACCTTCATGTTGTTCCAAACCTGTTTGAGGTTCTTTTTTTCTGTGGAACAATGTCTTTTTTTTTTTTTTGTACATACACTCTTAAAAACTAAGGTTCCACAGTGATGCAATAAAATAACTATTTTTGGTTCCCCAAAGAATCTTTCAGTGAACAGTTCTTAATAGAACAATTTTTTCTTAGTGTAAAGAACATTTTAATAATCTAAAGGCCTGGAAACACCAAGCCGACTTCAAAGAACTAGCGGCGACGAAAGCCGACGGTGTTGTCGCCTCGCGTCGGACCAAAAAGCTGTGCTCGAACACACCGCACGGACTACAGCCGACGGCAAACTAACACGTGCGTTCTGCGCATGCGTGAGAGGAATTAACTGTCTATATCAGCAGCTATCAATAGTATATAGTCGTCATTCAAAAGGAGAAACCGCAACAAAGATATACGAGATAAACGCAGATATATGAAACGTAAACAAAGCAGCACTTGCTTACCATTTTGAATATCAGTAACGTTGATATCTTTAATCATTTTAAGCGGCTCATGTTGTTATGAAAACATTCGCATATTAGAATGATTGGGAAAGATCACGTAACATTTAAACAGCCTTCTGTCTTTACCGCCTTCATTTACGTGCTTGTTTTCATCACTTTCGCTTTAATTCTCGGGCACTGACTCGTTTGCTAAACTGAACATCCAATCAGAGCTCTCACTTGCGCTCTTGGCCAACACATTGGCCAACAGCCGACCGTCGGCTTGGTGTGTCCCAGCCTTAAAGAACCTTATTCCACTAAAGAATACCTTTTGTGAAATGGAAATATTCCACACTCTTAAAAATAAAGGTTCTTTATTGGCATTGATGGTTCCAAATACTTTTTTGACATCTATGGAACCTTTCCATTCCACAAAAGGTTCTTTACATTAGTAAAAAGAAAGTAAATCATGGTTCTTCTAAGAACTGTTCACTGAAAGGTTCTTTGGGGAACCCAAAATGGTTCTTCTATGGCATCGCTGTGAAAACACCCTTTGGAACCCTTATATTTAAGAGTGTATGGATGCTCTTTTTTTGCTCTTCGGCAAAAAAAACAACTTTATTTTAGGAGTGTATAATGGAACCAGAACTGTTTGGTTACCAAAATTCTTCAAAATATCTTTTGTTTGTTTTCTGCAGAAAGTCCTACAGGTTTGGAACGACATGAGGGCGAGTGCATGATGACAGATTCATTTTTGGGTCAACTGTCCCTTTAAGGATTTTAGCAAACCCCACAGATATGGATCGATGCATCGATCAAATGAATAACAATATATGATACAACTGGAGCACCTAACTTTGTTGTCTGTGTTTTAATAGGGATACTAGAGTTGCATGTTTTAGAGAGCACAGAAGACTGAAAGACTTGTCATTGTTCAAGTCAATAAAGAGCTGTCATCAAACAATTGATGATCTTATGCGAATTGATTTTTTTGTTGTTGATGTCCCAGTTAGATACAGGAGTTCAATTAAATGCTCATGTTATATTTTGGTTGCATTTTGTGAGTGAATGAAAATGTAACTGGTTGTGTAAAATAGGTACATAACATCTTAATATCGATATATCAGTCGCAGGCCCCTGGATGTTATCAAATGTTATCAAGTTTTGAGGTACCGGCAAATATCGTATTGCTGGTTTAGATAATTAATGTCAGATTCTATCTTAATAAAACGACCGATTTTCATCTCTACTAATACACACTTACTGTGTGCTGTAGCACTACCAATAAATCATGATTCTAACCCTGATCTCCAGACCAAAATTGGTCAGACAGTGATTCATCTTTTCGGAATAATTCAAATATTGAGTTTTTGAGAAGTTTTGCTTAAAGGTATAACATTTTAGTGCTCATAAACAGTTGTTAAAACGGAGTAGAGGCTTGGACTTGAAAACAATATTATCAGAAGGTCAATATGTCAAATCCGGTGTTAATTTTATGAGAGATCCGACTTTGCCTAACGAACGATAAAACAGGTGGTAAAAATCACAGAGTCATATCTGAGGCTTGGCCCTGTAGCAACCACATAGCTACATGCTTACAACAGTTATGAAGACGATAGCAACACCTCGTCGACCTTCCAGAAACACTGTGTTGTGTTGCACTGCCACTTTCATTGGAAAGCATAGTATCTGGTTTATTCGCATGCTGGTTGCCGTTCATGCTACTGATTAAAGCAGCTTCGCAGAAGGTGTTTGGAGTAATGGGATGCATGCAGAGGGAAAAGCATCTCCGTGTGTGTGTATGGAGTGCTTCTAGAGGAGATGATTCTTACATTAGAGGCACGGACTCGGCACGCAGGAGATGCAGGCTGTTTCCTCTGGGACTGCAGTGTGTGTTGAGTTGAGCGTGTAACGTGGGGGTTGGTGAGCGTGAGGTGGAGTGTGCGTGTTTGTAATGTGTTAATGCAGCATCAACTATTGTTCTGATCACACAACACCACCGCAGCTCTGGCCTCTGTTGTTGATTCGGTCGGTCTTTTCTTTGAAATTCAAAATGTAAGTGAGAATTATTCAGATTCAGGCTTTTTGATGTGTTGAAAAAAGTACATCTAGGATTCTTTCTACGAAGCCTGTATTTATAATGCATTATAAGGGTATTCATTGTAATGCTTGCATAATGCCTTATATATATATATATATAAAAAAGTAACACTTTACAATAAGGTCCCATTAGTTAATGCATTGACTAACAATGAGCAAAAACACTTGTTACAATTTGTTAATGTTATAGTTAATAAAAATACAACTGTTCATTGTTAGTTTGTTAGGTCAGATCTAGGGATGTAACGATTAACCGCGAGCCGGTTGAAAATCGATTCAAATACGTGATGATTCAAATCGGTTGAGATGCTAAACAAATCGCCATTCGTTTAGGGGTAGGAGTTTATATGAATGTATGTCTGAGGGGAACTTACTGTCTTTAGAAAAGTTTAGATGGTATTTTTTCTTTTCATCTTGCATCTGTATAACGCATATTAAAGTTCATAAGTGCAGCGCTGCTTTGTTTACAGCGGAAACCAAGGAAACACTTTAAGCGCCACCTGCTGGCAGAGAGTTAATCTGCGTCTCGTTCAGCTCGTCGGCTGTTTCTGTTTCATGCAGATATTTTTTATGTATCGTTTCACAAAACTGAAGTCAAATCATTCTGTTTTTGCTTCAAATTTCGAAATTATACAATTTAATTTAGATTAAAAACTGCTCATGTTGCATGTATGCAGCATCTTTGTTTGGATCATGATTAAAATGCAGTGGTTGTCTCTAATTTTAAACGGAAAGAGCACAGACAAAGCCTTATTTTGTTTATATGAAGAGATGTATTTTATTTGTGTTGCTTATTTATTTGATTTGGGGCTTGTTTTAAAATTTCAATTTAGTTTTGTTATTTACATTTACATTATATTTAAATTTTGTCATTTAGCAGACAAATGAGGACAATAGAAGCAATCAAAACCAACAAAAGAGCAATAATATGCAAGTGCAATATTAGTATATTATTATAGTGTTATATTTCAATTTGACAAAGAAATGCGCAGCATTTTGTCCAAGCAATAATAAAAGGACACATTTCATTTATAATTTGTCTTAAATCTCATTTTGTTAAAAAAAAAATCGTGACTCGAATCGTGAGTTGAGTGAATCGTTACATCCCTAGTCAGATCCATTCAATAATATTAACAGATACAACTTTTGATTTATTAATGTATTAATACATCTTGAAATTAAGTATTAATTATTAAATGCTTTAGAAGTATTTTAACTAAGATGAATACTTTAGAAGTATTTTCATTGTTAGTTCGTATTAACTGATGTAGTTAACTAATGGAACCTTAATGTAAAATCTATGTGTCATTTTATGAATAATTGTAACAACATAATTAGTGTTGTCAAGATACCAGAATTATGATTTGATATGATAACTAAAATATCTCAATACAGATAGTGAACGGATAGCACCTAAAGCAACAGGAAAATTCTTAGTTTTATTAATTTAAATAACAATACTTGCAATTAAAAAAAACTGTTACCAGTGTGTACTTATTTCACAATACGAGTAATTTTATTTCATGACAACATAATATATCTCAATATGGTTATATTTGTTACTTTGTTATTATAGATGAAAGAAGAATGCAAACTATATTACCTTTTTATAACAGACAAACAGGCATTATAAATATTATGACCACATTATAAAGCCTTTGGACGTTTATTTGTCACTTTACACACACACAATATTATGCAGATCTTAAACAATGTCTAGATATGATACTTATAATACATTATAACTATGGAAACTATAATCCACTGTATCTTAAGTTGATATAATGTGTTCATTGTGTGTTATAAATCATAATACTCCGTTATATATATAAGTTACTTATAAATCATAGTTATAACCACAAATAGGTAAGAATTATAATGTTATAACTGTCGTTATTTGATTATTCATGAGATTTTTTTTATAAGGCATAATATAATGCATGCATTATAATGCCTTAAAAATACCATTATAAATACAGGCTTCATACAAAGCATGACTTTTTTTTGTTATGTTTGTAGAAACAACCACAGTTCAGATTTACTCTAGATACCTGTGACATTATTGGTTGTGAGAATAGATAGCTGTATTTCCTGTAGTCACCTTATGGCCTAGATCCCTCTAGCAATTTGGCCTAAATAATATTTTAAAATGTGTGTGTTTGCTAAGGCACTATCACATATATTTGGGTCAAAGACGTTAAGATGTCCGCATCAAAAGAAATTTACAAAAGTGATTATATGTCCGTAGAAAGCACATTAAATGTAAGTAAAGTGTCTACTTTTAAGGTTTCAAATAAGTTTTTGGAGAATAAAATGTTATAATTTGGGTGAAATAATGTTACATTGTCATTCAGTGTAACACAACATTTATGTAAAAATTCAAACATGCTTATTCTGACTTGTACATATTAAAATATATAAAAGAATAAGGGAGCATAAAACATTCTTACTGATAAATGGGCAAAACCTAGGATAGTGGCAAATTTAAACAAATTTAAAATTACAACTAATTAGTATTTGGGGTGAAAGTAATTACTCTTTTACTATGTCATAAATTGATTTTTGTTGTAAATATGCCTGGCAAGAATGTTACACTGAATGACATTTTAGTGGGTCTCTTCTGTAAATCAGGGGAAAATGTATGATATTTATTTTTTGCTCGGAAAAACAAAAACAAAATTGCAATTAAATTAAAAAGAAAATCTTTTACTTTTTTGGGGGAAAAACAACAACAATTTAAAGGAGTATTACACTTATTGTTTTTATGCTTAAACTCTTTTTCGTCTTTGACCCATTTATATATTTTGAAGAACGTTGGGGTCCAAACAACACTGGACCCCCATTGACTTTTAATGACAAAACGATACTGATGCATTCTTCAAAATGTCATCTTTTGTGTTCCACAGGTTTGGAACAACATGAAAAAAAAAAAAGACATTTTTAGTTGAAAAACATTTTCAAGTATTAATGTTTGGCATGTAACTTTTCCCCACACCATTTGTGCAACAGTCATGAATGATACCTCAACTCATATCTATATTCAAAAAATAATCTTACATTAAAGTGACCCGACTTGTGCCTGTATGCAAGACCTTAGCTATCACCCAGAACTAAAATTCTCTACTCTGCACTAAAACTCTACCCTAGCAACCACATAGCAATGCACTGGAAACCAAAGCAGGCAAGCCCTTAAAAACGAGTTTTAAAGATATTCAGTGACTATGTTGTTTCACTCACAGGGCCTTTTCACACGACTGGGTTGTCCGGCCCGCAGCACACTTTTAAGATGGATGCTAGAGATTACTTCATTGAGGACGGGGAATGCCATAGCAACAACTCACAGGAACCTGAAGAGCAAGACAGCACAAGTGGTGAGACACACAGCTTCAGAGGCAACTCACGACTGCATGTCTGTCTGTGAATTTATTTCTATATTTGCTTACTGCTAATAAAACATTAAAAACAAGGAAGACAGCTGTGATTGTTTTGTGATTGCAGTGTTGAGTCTTAGAAAAGAAAAGCAAGGTGACCTGTGATGGAGCCGTTGATAACATTACTTTTTCCCCCTATGCTGCCAGACGATGGTGATAGTGATTTTGATAAAGATGACTCCTCAAATGCCTCTGCTGATGACAGCATGACGAGTAATAAGAGCAACCACGGCCCCATACTACATGATGACGTCAAGGAGGTGAGTGATGGAGGTTTAATGTAAGAAGTAGATTGTTGTGTGTTTATCTTAAATTCTTCTGTCATGATTTGCATGACAGCATTGTCACAGACGACTCAAGTAACTTACTGTAAAATGCCTTGCAAAGAAAAAATAAAAGTCAGCCGTGTATCGTATCGTGAGGTACCATGTGATTCCCACCCCTACAATATACAGTATATGTTTATTATTTCATTCAATTTCTTTTTTTTTTTTTTCAGTCAAACATTACCTAGAAATGTATTTATGAGATTCATGCTTTCCAATTAACTGAATAAATTAAAGGGTTAGTTCACCCAAAAATTTTAATTCTGTCATTAATTTCTCACCCTCGTGTTGTTCGAAACCCGTAAGACCTTCGTTCATCTTCGGAACACAATTTAAGATATTAAATTCACGCGCGCGTTCACGACAGTATGATGACGTCATTACACCGGATCTGGGTCAGCGCCGCCACGCGCTCGCGTCATGGTACTGTCGTGAGCGCGCGTCCACAAGTGACGCAGTAGAGACGAAAATGTGGAATAAAGTCGTTATTTTTGTTTTCTTTGCGCTAAAAAGTATTCTCGTAGCTTCGTAACTTTACAGTTGAACCACTGATGTCACACGGACTACTTTGTCGATCATCTTGGTACTTTTCTGGACCTTGAACGTGGTAGTTACCTTGCTGTCTATGGGAGGGTCAGAGAGCCCTCAGATTTCTTCAAAAATATCTTAATTTGTGTTCCGAAGATGAACGAAGGTCTTACGGGTTTGGAACAACACGAGGGTGAGTAATTAATGACAGAATTTTCAAGGACACTGATTGTCGTTTTATTTACAAGTCTGTGTGACTTCATTAAATTTTAAAATTCAATTCAATTCTTTGTCATCCCACCTCACCGATTGTTGGCATCTTTAAGGGTTGATAGATATTTTTGTAGGGTGACTCATGGCTCTACAGCAACCCAGTTGACACAACAGTTGGAATGAGTCACAGGGCTTATGTATCCATTTGTCTGCCACACCACTCAAGTGCTGCATAAGTCATCCACAGCTACAGTCATTAGCAGTTTCAGGGAATAGTCACTTGTGTGCAATCATACTATATGAAAAAAAATATTACACTACATTTCAGACTGTAAGTCTTGTTACTCTAAACTTGGCTATCATTGTAACTGTTTGTTGTTGCATTGTATCTGTTAGGAGAATGAGGAGGGGACAGACCAGGGGAGCAGTTTTGGATGTCCTCTTTGTTCCCTGGAGTTCAATAGCCCAGATCAGCTCATCGCACACGTCTACCAGGTGAGGACACCACTACCTAAGCCTATTGTATCTTTTAGACTCTTTTTACACCTTAGAGTCTTTCTATCTTGGGTGATCCAATCACAAGTGGACAGTGCTAAATACATGTGTACTGGGGTCCAAAATGTTTTGTGATCAGATCACTCAACTACATTCGGAGCTCATCAGTTATGTGCAGATTGTAAAGCACACCTAAAGGCCAGAATACAGAACATGACTAAAACAATAGGCATCATATACTTGCTGACTTTGGGCATCATATACTAAACAAATGGGGATCACACACTAACTGAACACAGCAAACTCACACTTAGTGACAAATGAAAACAGTATGTGTACTAAAATCAGCTCAAAACATGTTTTGTATCCTCGGACTGGACGGACTCCAAATCTGAAGCGAAAAAATTGCAGTCTGCGTCAATCGTACACTTCCCGAATTTCTGTGAAATATGTCAGCGGCTCCCCAAAATTTGCAGTCTGGCTCTGTTTTTCGTTAAAAAATCTATGCAAAAGTTGCTTAATACATCTCAAGTTTAAAATGAAAATTCTTTCATCATTCACTCAATCGTTTGCCATTCCAAAACTGTAATATTTTCTTTCTTTCATGAGGAGAAATTATGAATGGTGTACTAATCGCCCTTTTCAAATTATTTACAATGAATGGAGACTGCCTCAAATGTTAAGTCCATTTTCGCATGCTTTTTGAAACTTGAAATATCTAGTCCCTATTGTAATTGCTTGGAAACAATGACCAGTGCATTATTAAAAAATGGTCTAGAAGACAAAGTCGTATGGGTTTGGAACAACAGAAAGTTGAGTGAATCATGACAATTTTCATTTTTAGACTGTTCCTTTAAGTCTCTTAATTTGAGAAGAATTTATGTAGGAAATCTCTTTGTGTCTTATTGTCTATGTACAGCACACAGCTGTGGGTGGCAGTAAGAGTTATGTCTGTCCTGTTTGCGGAAGAGCTCTCAGTTCCCCAGGCTCTCTTGGTCGCCATCTTCTCATCCATTCAGAGGACCGACTGTCCAACTGTGCCGTATGTGGGGCTCACTTCACAGACACCAACAACTTTAACAGGTCAGCTCTTTACTCAAGACATGATTTTACTAGGATAATGTGATTCATTGCTGTTTCTAACTGTTTCCTGGTCTGAAATTTTAGGGAAAAGTTGAAGGAGTTCCTCGACACAAGCAGTATAGAGATCAACAGTGATGGTGAGGCCTGTGCCATGTCTGACTCTTTACCCAGAAGCACTATGACTAACCCAAACACAAGTCCTGGTCTGACCTCATTGCCAGATGGTCTTCTCCCTTCTGCACCTCCTCTTCACTCACTCTCTGATAGCCTTAATCCTCCAAACACAGGACTTCCGCCTCTTCCAGACCTCATGAACCCTATGCCAGTGTGCCCAGCTGGGGTTTTGTTGGTCTGCAACAGCTGTGTAGCCTACCAGCAGCTTGTGGATGCCCAGTCGCCATCCATGCGGAAATGGGCGGTCCGTAGGAAGAGCGAACCCGTAGGGGTGCGGATGCAGCGGCTTGAACGTGAGCGAACGGCCAAGAAGACCAAGCGGGCATGTGAGTCACCAGAGGAGCGGGAGATGCGACGCTTACGAGACCGTGAGGCAAAGCGGCTGCAAAGGATGCAGGAGACAGATGAACAACGGGCACGTCGTCTGCAGCGAGACCGGGAGGCCATGCGACTCAAGCGGGCCAACGAGACGCCCGAGAAGAGGCAGGCGCGGCTAATCCGTGAGAGGGAGGCCAAGAGGCTAAAGCGGCGCTTGGAGAAGATCGACCCATCGCTGAGAAACCAGATCGAGCATGACCCTGCTGCGATGGCTGCGCTCACTGCTGATATGAGTCTATTCCAGTTTTCCTTTCCCATGTCTGTCCCTTCCGTGGACAATGGACTGTTTATGAAGCTTCCCTAACAAGCACAGCTCCAAACACCTCTCAGCCCAACATTCGAGAAGAATTTGCCATTCTTAAAGAATAACTATCTTGAACATAACTGTGATGAGAAGGTTATGGTCTTGCAGATTCAAGGAGGTGCTCACCCTGACAGCGATTTGCAGTGATGTAGGCACCAGATGTCTTTCATTTTCAAAGAGAGATTTGAGGCGACATGATAGACCATGAGTTGCAGCAACACACATGGAGACTACCAAATGGAGTGTAGACAGCGAAGTTCACATGTTCCGCTTCCTAATACACTTGGATATTGCAGTTGAGGACAGAAGTGGTTCTACAGGATAGACAAGACAGGCAATTGCTTAGAACCCCTAAGGGTGACAGATTAGAGTAGTCAATAGCAAGAAGAAATAAACTTCCTGAAAACTAGAGCTCGGCAATGTTTAGTAGGCTACAATGACATATTCGAGGATCTCTCTAGGAGGCTGCATCCCTTTAACTACAATCTCAGTCAAAAAATCAAAAGAAGAGCAGGCATCATGCAGATAATATTCCCATCTGGTAGTCAGAAGAGGAAAGAGGAGTCTGCTGCACCAGAATCCCTTACAATCACAACCAGTCAAGTAGGAACACCTACTAGCAACCAACAGCACGTCGACTTGCCGACCTCCAGTGATTTAATTGCTGTCAGTGTGAACAACCCTTTATGGATCTCTGTAACATAAACTGACTTACATAATTAACTGAACTTGAATAAGAAATTCCGACATTCACAGAAGGGCAAACATGTTACACTCTCTTACCTAAGGAAACTTGTCTACTTTGTTTTCAAGGCTCAGACTTTTAGCCGTCTTTCTTCAGAGCAGTGAGATTCTTCCAGAAGGAGGTTCTCGGTTTGCACACGGACCTACAGTGACAGGAGTGAGACGTGTAGCCACACTCCACACTCAGCCTACTCTTCAAATTTGCCAGTCTGAAAGGTTGAAGTTTACCTGCAACTATGGCTCACCTCCCAGGACCCTAGATTGGGTCACTACTAGCTCATACTCACAGAAGCAACTACCTCACCATGGGATCCTTGCATAGGAACCACAGGGACCATGCAGGTCCACACACTGACTTACTGTTCCCTATGCCAACACATACTCTAGTCCAAGGGTGTCCAACCCTGCTCCTGGAGGGTTCATCCTCCAGAGTTCACCCCTGAACCATCTAATCAAGGTATTCAGGGTTACTTGAAACCCCCAGACTGGTTGTGTGTTGGAGCAAATTGGAGCTAAACTCTCCATGATGGGGGCTGTCCTAAACCAGGATTGGACACCCCTGGTATTATCATTCCTCTACATGTTCGCCGAAACGACAACACCTTATTTAAATGCTGTTTGAGTGCCGCTGACCCAAATGCTGAAATCTACATGGGCTTGCAGTCTCGTGGTCTTTGCTTATGCAGTTTTATGTTCAAAAGACCATAAGGTGCCCTACTTGTCACAAATTACAAGGATGGCACCCTCAGTGCACCCTTTAGTTGAGCCTGGTGCGGACTTTGGAAACGGACTGCTACCCAAGAGTTTATGCGGCTTTATATCACTTAAGTGTGGACTTCAAGAAGGACTTCAAGGGCTGAGGGTGCCATTTGGGACAAGGCCTCTTGTGGCGACTTTGTCCTTTTTTAAAAGAGAAAGGTGCGGATGTACTGTTAAATACTAAAAGTATCTGTTTCAAAGCACATTCAGACACACTTCTCTGACCTCCGAAAGGCTTTATACCTTATCACAATGCTACACGGGTTGATATTTGTCTAGGAACTCAGGGATGGTGTGGATCACCGGCATCCTCACGACCTGAGAATGCAGAGGAGCAGGAGACCTCCTCTTCCTCATTCTTCATTATTATTCCTCTTGTTCAGACTGCAAACTCCTCACCTGAGCCAAAATGTCGATATGGATATTACACAACTCCATGACGTCTCAACTAACCAACCAGTCTCTGCCCTCTGCTGCTGTCACTGTACTGTATAACGTGTATGTTACCTCTTTAAACCAGTGCGGACCCGCACTGGACCTGGGAATGCTTGTTGTTAATGGTGAGGCACTTCTCTATGGCAACATGCATAGTGTACAAATTCAAATTGTTGCCTTTGTCACTGGAAAGTTGTGCTTTGGTTTTATATTTAATGATTTAAATGAATTTGTGTGCTATTTCTATGAGATGTGCAATGATGTAAAGGTTTAGCAAATGCATGTACAATGAAACAATCAGGACAAAAACTTCCAGAGAGAAATCCCTCCTATATGAAGCAGTGATGATGCTGCATATGTAAAAATTTAAATGACAAGGTAAAGACACATTCACATTTCACACTAATTAAAAGGTGAAGTGTGTAATTTCTGCGCAATATCTGATTGCAAAGGCAGATGCCAAAATAACACTTGCATCCCAAACACTGCCCCCTGTCTTCCACCATTCACCAAACAGGTACTCCCACCAAAAAAATTCAAACCAGTTCAGAAGTTGACATGTTAGAACGCCCAACAAACAAAGCATAAGCACCGCAGTGTTTATGGTAGTGGTTCTTAAACTTTTTGGGTTAACCACGTCAAGAGTAAAACAACAAAAGCAGACCAGCAAATTTCATTTTAGGGTCTCATCCAATGCCCTTTTCACCGATTCTGTCTTGAGCCACAGTTCTATAAATTTTCCAGAAGGCTGTTTTGTTCTTATTTTATAGAAATGAATGCTTCTTTTAGCTAATAAACCAATGAGCCGACTGCAAGCTAATTGGACCAAACGCTTACGTACATTGACATATAAAGACAGATAACAAAACACTTTTGTTAATTAGTTGGTTTGTTCAATGTTGGTGCTTATGTTATTTATTTACGTCTTTTTTATTGACTAAACTCGCAAACCAGTTTGAGAACCACTCTGCATGTAAAGTTGGGAGAACATTACACACGTAACCTTGAAAACTAACTCACTGCTCAGTGTGTCATATTGGGCGGAAGGGTCAGTCATGTTAAAACGGACCACTGTACATCTGTAAGTACCTCTTGAAAACAGGGTAGACTGTGTGTGTGTATCATATGTATGTCTTGTATTTCATTCCAATACTTATTACTACAGTGAATGACGCACATTTCAGTGTTTTAAATTCACAATGTTGTCATTACCTTCTTTAGAGATACCTCTAATACTCAAAGCGAAGCAGCTGAGCTTTCCCGCACAGTTGAAGGCAACTGGATAATGGTCCCACGTTTATGCTGTCATGAAGTATTAATGATGGGCTTCTTAAGAAAAAGAAAGGATTTAATGTACATGTGATGAAGCATCACTATGCAATTGAGAGCTGTACTCAAGAAACTTTGTATTACTACTATGCAGTTGATATGAAAGTAAATGGACTCAAATGCTCCAGATCACAAACCTCAGGCAACTCTTGACAGTCAAGCCAATGGTCCTCAAGTCCATAACCTCACCCACGAGATCCATCCTTAGCTTTGTTTTCAGTTACTCCATTGATAAGGACCGAGTTGATCTTGATGTATGCACATTCAGGAAGAGCAATGCAATTTTTACGATCAATTCCCTGAAATTCATTATAAAGCAGTTATTTTGTACAGTAGCATCAAAGTTGTGAAAACCCATCCTGATGCAATGAAAAAAAATCAAATGATTCGCTGTAGTCCAGAACGAGATGTTGGCAGGATGCATTGTCTATTTTGAAGGAAAAAATATATATAAAAGAGTATTTTCAAACATTAACCCTGTTTAGTCTGCATTATTCCTAAACTAGTATTTTTAGTGGTATGCACTGCCATGTGACATGTTATGTATTAAACAACCATTTTCTTTTACATGTCTGTGCATGTAAGTCAGTAAACCCCTGGAAATGGAACTTGCATGTTATAAAATACATGTTCTAAATGCATTTATATACGAGCTTTTCATTAAGGATTGGAGTTCAGTAATGACTTGCCTTTTTGTCAGTCTATCTAGATATTTTCATGATAATGTTTACAAATCTAAAAGGCCAAAATGAATGAAACTTAATGAGTGTGACTAGAATAACACTGATCACAATGCCAAATGGTCCTTTTGATTGAAAACTCATCATGAAAAGCAGAAACAGAATGTGGAATAAACATTGATTTTACTGCTATTAGTGTTTCTGTCTTTCTCTCTAGAAAAAGTATATACATATGTAAGGTGAGATTAAAACCTCTGAGACCACATTGAAAATCTGGTATTCAAAAATTGTCATGAAAAAAAAAATCAAGCATTTTCAGGAATGGTCTCAGACTTTCAGGCCTTACTGTAATAAAAAGATGCATTGTACTTGAATTTGGTCACAATACATTTTGATTCAATCATCTTAATTATTTTCAAAAGTATGCTGAAAACAAAAAAATATTTCACCCCTTTGTGGAATATAAAAGAGCAATACACAAAGTTATACATTCACAGACTCAAGGTTTGTATTTCAGATTAAAAAAATGAATGCATGCTACATCGGGTATTTTTGTAATCATAATCTATTATTAATCTCTGCGTTGAATTACTCCGGTTCGTTGGTGCACTTTTACAACTCTATTTAGAATTTATTACAATTACTAATTGAATGGAATGCATATTAAAGAAACAGACGTCAAGCCAGCATGTTAATATTATATGGATATAGATATATATTATATTGTGTTTACTTAACAAACATGATAAATGCAACGTTTCCAAGAAGTTAGCTGTAACAATAAAAATACAATATCTTTGTGTCCTTACAGAGAATTAAAACAGGAAAACAAAAAACAAAGTAAAACAAAACAGTCCTATAAGTAGTTCACAGAGAGGTACAAATATACAGTACAAATCTATTTTATTCAAAAAAGGGTACAAATAAAAACGCAACAAAATATAGTTATTAATGCTTTGTAAAGTTCAGGTAGGTGTAGGGTAGTCTAAGGGAGCACTTTGGGTAGACGACTCTAAGGCTTCTGAGAAGAATTAATACATATTGGTACGGCCATACGATATTAAAATGTACTATACAAAGTTTATACAACCTGGATTATACTTGAGGATTGAATATTACACATACATCATTGCATATATTTCGCAGATTTTATGCATTAAACAAAGATGCCATCTCTTTTAAAACTGGTCACACATCACATAAAAAGCAGTGTCACTTAGTGCCAAGAAGTACAATGTCAGATTCGAGAGTATATAATGACTCCTTTAAAACCTTGAAACCGTTAGAAACCTGATTTCAGCTGACATTACTGACTCTGGCCTGCCGTGCCACCGAATTCTGTCTGGGATTTACACAAAACCACCATGTATTAGCTTCATAAAGCCTTCCAAAGCAATATATACATTAAAAAAAAAAAATCAATTGTAAGCAATGATACCACTATAACACACTGAAATGTTACCGATACACAGAACTGCACACATTCATCCATAACACAGACGGTTATCCTCGGCTGGATTCAGTCGCTCTCACACGTCACAAACTATGACGTCAGCTCCAAAAACTCTCCATTCACACCGACAGTCAACAGGGAGACTAACTGGACTTCTGTAAAATATTTCCCAGGACTCTTAGCCTCAACTAGATCAATAACTGCAGAGATTCTCGCTTTATACGCAGCATCTTCTAACACAGACTCCAATGAATTTAGCTTTCACTCACTTCCTCAAACCACTTTAATGAGAAAAGCGCAAGTTCCAGTGATTTTATTTTATTTTTTTAAAAAGCATACAACATGCATTTTATCTCAATAGTAATGCCAATTGAGAAAAGAATCTTTGTAATATTTCAAATACAAAATTTAAAAAGAAATGTGTTTTTTTTTTCTCTCTTAACATGCTTAGATTTCCCCCCCCCATTTGATTTTGGGGCAAAATATGGTTTTGTCAGTGTTGGGGAGTAACTAGGTACATGTAAAGGTGTTAAGTAATTAAATTACAAAATAAATGTAACTGTAATCCATTACAGTTACTTATGAAAATGTTAATGATTACAAAGGGGGTTAACATCTAAATATATTCTGTAAAAAGCTAGGATATGTTGAATAATATTAATTTGTTGCCTTGCCTGTTTTTGATGTGCATGATGCCTCCTGCCATTTAAAGGCAGTTTAGTAAAGCAATGCTATTTTGATGCTTTTGATTGGTTCTCTTGTTTGAATTAGCAGTATTCTACCAATTCTATCAATCCACATTGCTGCTGAAAGCTTTAGGCTACAAGCTGTCTGAGAGTTGATTAACGGATTGATTGTCTGAGAGTTGATTAACAGTTGAAAACATTCGTTAGCAATTTAGAAAAGTAATCAAATGTAATCAGTTACATTAATAAAGTATTGAAATAGTTACACTAATTACATTTGAAATAGGGTAACTTGTAATCTGTAGCCTATTACATTTCCAAAGTAACCTTCCCAACACTGGGTTTTGCGAGATTCAAGCATCGCACGCTTTCTCTACAAAGCACTGAGGAAGTGAAGGAAGATGTTTCCGAGCTAGAATCAGGGATGATAACAGTGCCAAGCATCGGTCTTCACTTCTGCCCTACTAACAAGAGCAAAATATAAATACAACATTAAAGATTTAGAACGCATGTTAAGCTTACATTTTGTTCAACAAAGATACACATTATGAGCTAGTCCCAAAATATCATCTTACAATCAGTAAGTGCAGCGTCACTAATTGTTGTCAGTGAGCAACCCAAGCCACCTTTACAGAGGAGTCCACAGTCAATACAACTAGAAACGAATGAGACTTTGTCTCCATGCGAAATCGTATGACCTTGAAAAGCGGGGAGTCACTTATGCGCATCGTTTACGAACGGTGCACATCTTAAGGCGTTATTGACAAGCTAATACTATACAAAACTTATCTTCATATCTGTACAAGCATACAAATGTTGGATGATTGTTTTACGTGGTTTCGAATGATTCAATATGACAGCGAAACATTTACCGTAACACTGTATGTGAGGGAAATAAGTGCAGAACATTTCATTGCATCAATGTGACAAACGTCTATGTTACATGATTAGTTTAGGCTCTGTGGAAGAACAACATGGGATTCCCTAAATGCAAAGAAGAAAAGGGCATCTACACACCAGATATACTCTAGAAATATCATCACTGAAGGAGGAAAAAACACGACCTGCCATGCAACCAAAACCTGAATCTGAACAACAACACACTCATTTGCGGGCTGGTCTGGTTGTGTTTTTGGAAGTATTTTGGAAAATAAATTCCCACTTTATTTCAACTCATTCAAAATGCTTTCTAACCATTAAACCGTACATTTATCTAGTGTGCAGCTGCCCTAATCATTACAGGGACATGAAATGCTTTGAAAGGGGACGCTGTACTTGACATGTATGCAAAGGTGAAGTAAGGACATGTTATGATTAATTTTCACACATCCGTAGAAGGAAGGAAATGTAGACGCATACTAACTATAGGAATGAAGCTTGTGCTTAACCCTTCTGTGCTGTTACCATTGAAGATACAACTTTAAATTGACCCTGAATGATAAAAATAACAGTTTGAGAGTCACATTTTACACATTCCCCCCAGGAAATAAGGTCTGTGGTCCTCAAGAGAAGCTCACGTTTTATTCACCGACATAACATACATCAAAAACACCCCCTTGTTTTTTAAGCTTTTGCTTGCTTTGAAAAAGTTGGTTGCTTAAAAACGGCTAAATGGGACTATAGGTTGTCTAGTACGTTAATTTATTATTTTTTTTAAATAAAGACTGAAAGAGTTTGTCAGAAGCTTAATGGTGGTGATGAAGTCATGTGACCATGGTGTAGCTAATTTAAAGTCTGTTTACATCTGGCAATTGGATTTAGGCTTCAAAATTCATTAAAGTTGTGTTCATTTGTGAAGCTTATGATGAACTAAATGTGTAAGATTCATAAACTTTTGTTGGTCACAGAGATTATTTTCTGCAACAATCCAAAAGCCAATGGAAAAATCGTTTTTTTTGTCGAGGGAACCAATGTGACGTGAACTTTCAGGTTGGCCTTCAAATACAAGTAATCACCGCAGCACTCCATCACAAATTTTCTATTGTAATTTCTCTAATTATAGTATTTAGGATGCCATGAAGTTTCAAGCTGAATGGTTTACGTTTAGATATGATCAAAATGACCCTCAACAGCACAGTAGGGTTTTCAAGCCTGTGAGATATAAGACATGAAGACATTAAGAGCAAAATGGAGACGTGCAAATCTCCCAGAGAACAAAGCTTAATAAGACAGACCAGAGTAAAGTTAAGACATTGGGAAGGCACAAACATAGTCAACTCTCCTTGCACAGTGCACAGGATAGTAGCTCAGTTCTTAATGAAAGCGTACTCAGTCCATCTCCGCCAGGAAGGATGCAGATTGGAGATTTCATCTCGACAAGAGATGGCTGGTAAGGCAGTGCATTTGAGAAGACAGAGAACAGTGCACCATTGCTAACAAACAAACAAACAAAAAAAAACAAAAAAAAAAAAACATACAGCACCAAACAAGCGACACCATATAATCTTCGGCTTACGTGACTTGGTAGTGTGATAACTAATCGCTTAATCGCTACCATAAATGTCACAGAGCCTGTGGGTTCCTAGAAAAAAAACGCAGAATGCACAACGATATTGAACGTGCAGCTGACTTCTGTGAACAGACCACAGACGAACTGGTGAGATTTGAGTATTGAAACCGCATTAGGGTGCTGACTGAGTCTCTACTGCATAGCTCATGCTAAAGCTGTATCGTTCTGCTGTTTCGAGTATTGCTTCTTGTCAAATCTAATACTTAAAATAATGGAACAGGTCTTAATTTTGAATAACAAAGCCATCATTCATATCATTTTTCCCTGTATGTGAAGAAACAACGTGATAACTTAAACCAGCTGGCTGACCAACTGGATTGAGCCCAGAAGACCAAATCGAGATGGTTTAAACCATTTTTCCTGGTCGGGAAGATATTCGATTTGTGTCTGCAAGGCTTTAGATGACAATTGTGGCCCTTTTGGACAGTTCACACCAGGTTGAAAATGAAGTATAACTAAGTGT